GCCTTTTTGCGCGCGAATAGCAGTGAGGTGGTCCTTATACCGGTCAACTGTAACGGTAACCATTGGTGCAGCATCATGATACGGTCATCATCACGGGAAGTACACATCTACGACCCAATGAGCTCAAAGTACGTCACATTTGTTCGAGCTGCTGCCCTAAAGTTGATACATCTTCTCCGGAAAACAGCAGAGGACCCATCTTACAGCGTTCACATTTACAGCTCCGATGTTGGAGTACAATACGACAGCTACAATTGTGGTATCTACGTGCTTTTGAGCTTCGAGCACTTTACTGGTGCATCTCAGCTCGGACGAGTCGACAAAAAAATGCTGCAATGTCTTCGATACCGGTACCTACGAATGTGCTACGGCTAGAAATTGAGAGGAGCATATAAAAACCTTTACAATACATTTGTCACCTGTGTGAACGCTCGAGGCATCACATAAATGACCTGCACGAATTGGCGCCCGTGTCTTCACTAAAGTCAAGAGTGATTTAGATTGTCTTATAAGTATTACATTCTTTAACAATGCTAAAGTTAATATGTGCTTCGTTTATCCGGACCTGTATACCCTGTTAAGAATTAAAACCAGCGGTTTGAACTCGCTCTTTTAATCGGACCAATCTGGAGCGATACTGTACCAGTCTGGATCTAGTCTGGAACAGTCTGGATGATTAGTCTCGTCTCATATGTGCTAGGTTGGAACAGCAACAAGTGCCTTTACCACAAAAGGTCACCACATTACCACAATTAGCATCCGATTTCCCGTGACAAAGCAAATTCCTTTTTTACTTGAGAAAAAGAATAAGTTCTTAAATAAATAAGTTCTAAATAAAGCAGCCAAGCCACGATTCCTTTCGCATTTTCAAACCGTCGTAATGCGATATAATTAACGTCGGGCATACAGGCGACCTAGATTTGTAGCAGATCCCCGTAATATTTCCAGGAAATTGCCACTTTCGTCGGGAATGCAGAATCTCAACACATTTTCTTGATTGACAAATGGAGCAAAAAATTAAACGCCGTCTGAGTCGCAAAAATCCTCAGAAAGAGGGTAACAACAGGACGTTTTGGGCTCTGACCATCCGTCAGACACTTCGCTGGAGTCGTCCCGAGCAACGAATGGGCTTCGTGGCTCAGGTCACAGGGACCCAAAAAGCTGTTGCAACACACAGGATTCGGTCGAAAAACCACAAATTCTACAAGATTTTTCAAGGGAGATATCTACTCGAGTCTTGGAAGAGGTTTTGGCACGTTGTCAAAGTTCGGTAGCTCCCGAATTTGATTTGTCCACGCTAGCGTGAAACTTTGCAGGTTCGGAACCCCTGTAAGCGAAGCTATTGTCTTGAAGTTGACGTGTACACCCAAATAGATCAGCGATAGCTGCAGGAGGTCACTGAGCATTTCGTCTGGAAGATCGAGTAGGTTGGTACCACCGTATCGACCTGCAACGTGGCTTTAAAATCAGTCAATGGTTACGATAATTTAAAAATTGCTCACACGTCCAGTGTTTCAAAATAGCGAAATTATTTGGTCCAAGCTGGAACGAGCTCAGTACTGTATCAGTGTAGATGAGTTAGTTGACTGTTGTTACATTGGACCAGCATTTGAAAATAGAAAGAACCCATTATGGCTACATTGTTTTAAGTGCATGACACTTGCGCAGCTCCTCATGCCATTCTTTCAGCTGCAGATCAATCACTTGGGGCGCTGTAAGCATCCTTGCTCTAGATGGAGTCTTTCCCTATCGTACGCGCTAGCTGCATCTACCCGTTAGTCGTACGTCGTCGGAGCTATAATAGATCAACATCAATAAGGATAAGACAAGGTCAATGTTCGTTACCAGTCCGCCATCGATGCGCGTAGACGACACACTCCGGATGGTGTGAGCATAGTGACTCTGTATCCAAGATAGCTTTGTGCGTCGCTAATATAATTACAAGGATGGCTGCCACATACGCACTCACATCACCTTTCGACACTGCATTCTATGAGAGATGAGCTTGTTTCGCCACAACAATGCTCTCGATATCAACATATGACAGCAAACATTCACGGCCATTAATCACATAGCTCCAACTAGTGTCATATTCGGATTCGCTTCAGATGTGCCAAAATCTCCCGTTGTCGTAAGCGCCAGGGTTCATTTCCTCGCATACGCAGTCGTGGGGGCATCATCATAAATTTATTCAGTAAGAGCTAACGGATTAACTTTAAGTCATATGGAGTTGAAGACCCCCAATTATGAGGATCCGGAAACTCTACTGAAGTCGGTGCATGTGCCTTGGTCCACTGACGATCCTGACCGACAGCACTTGGACTGACTCCTAGCATAGTCTTGTGTACTGCTTAAATGTGTCGGATGCCC